AACCTACAGTTAACAGAATTAGACAAATCCTTTAGTGTATGGATATTAAAGCCGGTGACATCGTAGTCTGAGAACAAACTGCACGAATCCATGCTTCGGATCGATGACTCAAACGCTAACCCGGACAAAGTTGAATTTCTTGAGAAAGGCAGATATTAGATTAAATTTGTGCTTTTTAGTGGCAAATTTAAAATTAACTCAAAAATTGAAAACGCAATAGCTAAAATTCGGCCGACTGATAAGAAGCGCAGCGAAATCTTTCAATCCTTTAAGTCCTGTTTCACTGCTTTTGAAGTTCATTTTTTTTCCATTCATTTTAGTCACACATTTAGTGGATTTATTTTTTAACTTTACGTTGGTAAAGGCAAAATGAACCGCTGAAAATTTGGGAAACTGACCGTGAATTATTTCAGTAGTGCTGACAGTAAATTGTATCTAAGGCAAAGCAATTAACTTCGGGCCAGTGTCCTCATAAAGAAAAAAATCTTGGAAAAATTATTACGTTCTCCACTTTTCCCAGACTGTGTGGTAGAAAAACCCGTCCTCGCAAGGATTGCGTCTCCGAAATCTATATCGCCCTTCAGCTTAGCTGACAAGGCTTACCTCGCACCTAGACCCTCTCGCTTAAAGAAAAGAGAGGCTCTGAGGACGGGTCGACTGGTTACGAAAGTTGTTTGGTTACCAAAAGTTACGATGTACCTGTACCATTTTCTGATTGGACAACAAAATTGGCAAAATCGTCGGGAGACTCCGACTGCTAGACGTAACATGAGACTTGTGCCCAGGCCAGCAAAAATGGCACTCCATTCCCAACCGTTCAAATCTATTTTGTCATTCATACAATGTTAATTTTCATTGTCTACAAGTTACTCATAAAATTAATTTTGAAACAACGTTTTTAAAGCATTTTTTTCTAATATATCATTATCAAATGGGGATTTCCAAATATTGTTATAATCTTCTTAGCCCTATATCTGTTGCATTAGCTGTAAATTCTCTCGACCAAATTGACAACGTTTCTGACTAGGAAAACACTTAATTATTTACTGATAAAGCAAGACTCAACAAATATTTCTTGACACTCGCCTATGAAGGAGAAGTTGAAGATTGGCACCTGGATGCAAACTCGGGAAATGACTGATTAGTACGTTGTGGTATAGTACCTGAAATTAGCTTGTAAAGAGTAGCGAGAAAAAAAAAAAAGAAACACAAATTGAAGGCCGGCCATAAAGAGATTGGGCAAATTTTAATTATTCTGCCTCCAACCCATTGGTCCTTTGAGTCAATAAAATGAACTTAAGCCTTAAAATTTTATCTCCACGCTGTCTGCTGCCTGCTTCCACAAATGGTATGGTAGTTTCTTTTGTTTGTTTTTTACAGTGCTTGAATTACATTGTACTGATTTAACGGTTGGATTACGTGACAATTTAAGTGAAACCAACTCGAATGTCTTCCTTGTCGAGTTTAAACAATAAGAACGTTAACCTCATTCAAACTACAAACAAATTTAATCAACCATCACACGCAACTAAAGGTGTTAAATGGTTTGTGCCTCGTTAAGTGGGTAAAATGCGTTTTAATAGCTCCCTTGTTAGTTAATGACTAGCACATAAGTTAATTGGGGAAGGGCAGACAAAACGGATATGACAGCATTGTCTTCCAGCATTGCTGGGTTTAAATATTGTCATATTTCAGGGCTCGAGATTATGTTTGACGTAGCATTTATCAAACGGAAAATTTGAACAATAATAAAAAAAAACTGTAATAAAAAAAATAAAAAAGAAATCTCGGCAATGCTGATTTTTAATTTCCAAGATAATTTTTCCCCATCGTTTGTCGTTGAGCTTAGATGGTTTGTACAATGGCCCGTTAGTTTTTTAAATCTGACCTTGATTTATAACTTAAACAACACAATGGGATGGAGAGTTCTATTGATTCCAGATTACTTGCTATCTTTCTATTGTTTATATTATCGCCAATACAATGTCGGTTGAGCAGGTCTTTCTTACATGGTTGTAAAGTTTTCACTGGTCAGCTAAATGAATGTTTAATTCGCTCCTGCGTGAAAAATGGCCAGTACGCTCGTCCGAGAGATCATTAATATTGAATTTCTTTTGTTGCGAGAAAAAAAAATTGCTAAGGGACGCGAAGTCCTCGTTGTGGAACAAGCCAGGGAAAATATAGCTGATTTCAAATGACGTGATTAGGGAAATCAGAGGAAAAGAAGCGTTCCAAAATATTGGATTTTGTTAGATCGAAATTTGTGTTTTTGTGAGCAGGGAAGGTAAGTCAAAAGTTCACTGTTTATAGTTGTTATCTATTGTCTAGTCGTCAGAACCAAAAAGATTGATTTTGCAATGAGAACCGAGCGACAGTTTCGTTCAAAGTTTCTCGCTTTATCGTAAACTCTCCCAGTCAACGACAACTGAAATCCTAAAGAACTTCGAAAGAAGTAAAATATATCGTTCTGAGCAAAAGAAATGAACTTCCGATTACAACTAACATTTGTCAACAATTCTCCAGTTGAAGATATCTCATGAAGTATAAATAACCAGTTGCGACGAAGACAGTCAACTCTTGGAAAACAAAGAAATTGAAAATCAGAATTCTACCGTAGATTATCGATTACTGATTATCGTAAAGAGTGAGAGTTAAAGAACTGCATAAGGGACAAAAAAATGTTAAAATGTCTGTCGACTCTGAGACCCTTTCGTCCTCATTTCTACTTGCTACTCCACCTGTCGTTCGGTCCGCCATTTTATTTGAGGTAGGTAGAGGTTATGGTAAATAAACTCTATACTTTAGGTAAGGGTAAGGTGTCTCACGATTTATTTTTAACTTTAACAATTTCCACATATTTTAATTGACTTGAGCGAGTTTTATTTTAAACCTTAAAGTCTCCTATTAAAAGAATATTCAACTATTATTATTAAATCCCGGCGCTTAAAGTTATTTGCTATATTTCACCACTAGCATGTTTTGCTAAGAAACTTTAAGCAGAGGTAGCAATAGATTATTTTTGCATTGTCACAAAAAAAAAAAGTCGTTATCGAGATAAGATACTTAAGTTTAGATTGCGGCTTTCAAATGTTCTCAGAGGTTCTTTTTTTTTGTGCTCATTGAAATTACGGAAGTTTTTCGGAGAAGAGTTTGAAATTGTTTCACGTAAATCAATTTTGTAAGTGTCTAAATTTCGTGCGACTGAAAGCAGTCGATATAACTAGAAACAGTAACTATGTCTGTCAGATCCAAATCAGTATCATAATTTCTACAAGCTAAAGAGGAAAAGAAGAAATTTATTTAAGAACAGGTAGCACCAAGAATATAGAACCAGTCATGTGTGTTCTCTTGCATGTCATTAATTCGTAAAGAGTTTACGATCATTGTATAGCGTCGTCCGAGTAGTCTTTATGTTTCTTCGCCATTCTAATTATAAAATGTCGTAAAAACGACAAGATCCAAGGTTTCAGAATCTAGAATAGTTTCTTGGAAGACGCGACTTCCACACGGTTTTTATGGATCGTAGTTCCTCATCGCAAGCACTTAGCTTGGCTAATAGGCGGAAAACGTTTAAAAAATCAACGCTTGCGGCCATTGTTACGAGGTACGTTCCAGCTACAAACGATAACGCAAAATTAGTTTACCATTCTGCGCTTCAGGCCGTTTAAAGCAGTTAAAAACTTAACTGCAAGTGCGTTTTGAGCAGAGGGGCAAGTTTTGCAAGGCCTCTTGTAGGCTAAAATCGCTGCAAGGCCCTGGATCAGTCAACTAAGTTAGTATAGCATTTGACTTGATCCCACCTGTACTTAAGACAATTTAATTCAAATAATCAGAAATTGGAATGCATTTGACTCCCAAGCAATATATTTATTAAAAATATAAAGAGTCGTGTAATGCAAAACATCTCAGTCAATGAATTTTCTTTTTGACTTATTATAATTATTGAAATTCACTTAGTGAGTAATCCTGAGCAGCCTCCAAAAAAGAACATTTAACAGTCGACCTGCAGTTAAAACCTTAATTTAATAGCTCACTTGCTTTCATTTCCGGGATTAGATCTACGAGCCGTTGTTGAGGTCTCTAGAGGGTTGTGTTTATTCCCGGAAGACTGATTTCTCTGTTCTTATTTGAATCGCTTCAGTTGACACTATTCAAACATGAATGGACCCGTTGAGTGATACGTCTCCGAGAATGGAATGCCGCTGATCTGAACCGGGCCTTACTCATGATCACCTATCTTTGAAACTTATCTTATCCTTCTATTGATACTTTTAGTTTCAATGAAGAAAATTAATTGGACCAGGGATTTCACACCTCGTGAATAAACATTTTCTTTTAGCTATATATTAGTTGAAATTAAAACATGTTGGAGCAGCTATGTCGAGTAGTGGCTAGACTGCATTTCTTGTGTAATGCAAAGGATTTGATATCAGTCAGACTAACAATAGTTTTTGTTTCCATTTCACTTCATCTCAAGATAAAGGTGTTACACAACGAAGAAAGCACTGAGTAGAAGATAATGGGCCTTGTTCGGGTCCTTCTACTCTGCACAATTCTGCCGTGGATGGCTAGAACAAAAGGTAAATATATCTAAAGTAATGTCATATAAAATCGACCATATTCTATAATCCATCTACCTTAACCGTCATCGCTCATTTTAAGGTCCGTTATAGTTTTAACTTAATAGTTCAGCACACAAATTTTTTTTTCCTTTCCAACAGAGTTACACCACGTAGGATGTTTTCAAGATGGCGTTCCTCGGGATCTCCCGCAACGGGTCCATGCGCGGGAATTAAACGCTGAAACTTGCGTCCAAAAGTGCAAGGATTTAGAATTTAAATACGCTGGACTACAATTTTCTTATCTTTGTTTTTGTGGAAACCATTATGGAAGATACGGAGAACTTCCACAAGACATGTGCTCCAGTAAATGTACAAGCAAAAGAGATTCATTTTGTGGTGGCCATTGGAGTAACTCAATTTATAAGACAGGTAAGAGTTTTTGATTTATATTACAAACAGTCAAAAAGTAGTTTTCAAGTTGCCCAATTGATGGACCAGTTACTGTAGCTATATTTGTTTCTGCACTGTCTGTTTAGGATACAACCCTGAATCAAATCATGGGAAGAGCAAATCCCACAAACATGTCAAGCGAGATGAAGTGGTTTTGTTTGACAATGTCAAAGAGTACAGTCACAAGCCAGGTAAGTGAAGTGAAAACAAAATTATACTCAGTTGCGATCAGTTATTAGAGTAAAAAGGTGGACATGGATTTAATTTGAATATTGGATATTGGCCAAGTTCTTTTTTGTGTGTTTCTGGCCAAAATCCGGCCATCGTGACCGAGGAAGCTTGGGGGCAACATAGCGCCATGTTGCTCGCTCGGGTAGCCAATCACAGCGCAGGATTTGGTTCATCTTGCCCGCTCACGGAGCTAGCCATATAATGAGAAGTGGTAAAGCACTTTGCTAAAAACCAAAATCAGTGATTGTGATTCTTGTGAATATTTTTTATCTGCAGAGGATCGAACAGTCACAATAGACGTTAATCCAGCAGAGTACTCGTACATTCCGCATCCACAGAAAGAAGAAAATAAAAGGACAGAAAGATCAGCCGCCTACGACACGAACTCTTATTATACCTATTCCGTGAGCGACAATCGCTACGGGTCAAATCCCGAGAACACGAGTACCAGCCTAGCTTACGGGACAGATAACTTAGGGTCCAACGGACAAGAGCAACTAGCAACAGCTTATGGTCAGGATTATAATGACAAAACAAGCGCTGATGCAAGTAGTTATTATTATAACACACGGCAATCAGCTGATAATAATGCATCTACGAACAGTACAGCTTACACGCCATATTATTCACCCCAGCAAGATAATGCATCGATTTCGTATAACACCACTGATGTGTCTACATCGGCAGAAAACCCATCTCAGTATGGAGCGCAATATACAGTCAATGCTTATTCGGATGTTAACAATGTGTTAAACGAAAACGCTTATTCTACGCAACAAGATGCACAGAATCAAACGCATTTGTATAATGCTTCATCTAACTACAGCATATCGCAATGGGATAACACGAGAAACTCGTCAAGCTTTCTATCAAATGACACACAGCTTTCTGACCAGCAGTCAGCGGGATACACGTACACAGAGCAGGCGCTGGCGCCAGCTCAGACGCCTTCTTCAGCGCCGGCACCGTATCCAGCTTATGCACCTTATCCGGCACCTTATCCTACACCTTACCCGGCACCCTATCCGTCACCGTACCCGGCACCAGCTTATGCACCATATCCTGCTCCTTATCCAGCCTATGCACCATATCCGTATCCATCTCCTGCACCCTATTCGTCTTACCCGGCCCCTTCTCCCGCACCTGCTGAGGAGAAAAACGAAAACAGTAAGTAACGTGAAAATTGTAAGGTGTATTATTTAAGTAACTTCATTGAAAAATAACATCCACTTTAGAACAGTAAGGATGTAAGGAATTAGAAGTTATGGCAATAAAATTTAATTTCCCTCCTCCCTTAAATATTTGACTACTCTGTGACTGTTTTAGTGAACTGAAGTAACACTTGTCACTTTATCTTGTAAATTCATCCTCTCGGTTTCCATTCAGATCCCATCCACACCGCGCTGGAGGAACTCTGAAAACGCATGAAATGTTTTCCGTCCACACTACGCCGGAGGAATTTAAAAACGCAACAAAAAGCGGCCATTTTCGATTTGTGTTCTAAAAAACTCGGGCAGGGAAATCCCATAATAATCTTGAGATCATCGTTTCCAAACAGCTCCATTTTCAAAATGTTATCTGTCCACACGAAAGCGAAAGCCGGTGTTTTCAAATTCCTCCGGTGTAGTGTATCAAACGGTTCAAACACCGTAACTGATTCAGAACATACGTTTTACAAATAAACTGTGAACGCACTGCATTTGTCACCTAAATACGGAATAAACTGGACCATGCAACACAAACTCTTGCAGAAACATCATGTCAACTAGAGCGTCAGATGGCAAAGACGATGGATGATGCATTTGTTCCTGAATGCAAACAAGATGGCAGCTACTCGGATATGCAGTGCTTTGAGCATGAAGGATTCGCTAAGCAGTGTTGGTGTGTGACCGGTGACGGCCAGGAAATAAAAGGAACCCGGATGTCAGATGGACAGACACCCAACTGCACTACTGCTGTCAGAAATGAGGAGAAACATCACGATGAAGGGCAGGAGCCCATCACAAAAGAACCTGGGACACCGTTGAAACCACAACATCATGATGAGCCAGTTCAACCACAACAAGAATCACCACCTCAAAAACCGAAAACGATGGAAGTTGAAATACAAATAATACGAAACGGCACTAAAACAGGTAGGTTTGTAAGAAGACGATTTCCATCAACAAAAACTACAATGACTACGGAACTTCTTAACTTGAAGACCCGTTAGACTATATACATAGGACTGAACCTAAATTAGCTAAGCTAATCTTGTTGAGTCAGTCTAAATTAAAAACAGAGTATGTAAGTGAGATAATACAATGGTAACCTGCACACAGTCTTGGTAACTAAGGAAAATTAGTCAATTTTAAAGCGAGGTAAAACAGTTTTCTCTATGTTTAAAAAATCAACAAATAGACTGTGTCATGCGCTAATGGATACGTTAAATAGAGAAAGGGCATCGGGACCATCATCTGTAAGTAATACTTGCTCTTGAACTAAATTACAGGAAATTCAAAAACCCAGTGTCAGAAAGAAAGAGACATCGCTCTTTCTCCATTCATCACTGATATCTTTGTGCCTTTGTGCGACGCGGAAGGAATGTTTGTTCCTCTTCAGTGTTTTGAGCACGATGTTTACGGTAAACAATGCTGGTGTGTGGATTCGTCGGGACAGGAAATCAAAGGAACGAGACTAGACAATGGTACCGCCCCAGAATGTGGTGAGTGTAAACAGACAAGTAATTTCTGCAACAGGCCATTTTACAGTTGTGTGCTCAGTTACGGCGAGGTTAGGGGTGACCTTGCTTTGATACAGACCTGTCTCCTTTTCTCATTTGAATGCCAACTAGTAAGCATAAGAAAAACTTGATTTACACAACAAAAGCAGTGAGATCTTCACCAAAACAAAGTCACCTGTGGCCTCGCTGCCATTCAAAGGCGAGGTCACTGAGCAGACAACTGTGAAAAGGTCTATTCCTCAGCAACAATAGTAACTACTTAATTTTCTGCACATGTTGCGGGCCTATAGGCCTACAGTCTTCTTTTGTTGCAAACAGCTGGGAAAATTGTATGGCCATGGCTAATTCGACATATTTTTATCGTTAGTCTGAGAAAGTGTTGGCAGCTTCACCACACACTTGTTTCACGAATATCGCTCTTCTGCAGCTCTGCACAAAGATCATTTTAGTGTCGTGTGTCGAAAGGTAGAGTTAGTAAGCCTAGCAGTTCCACTTTAAGTCAAAATAACCCCCCGAACAATCAATTAAAAAACAATTTACAAGTAGCTTAGCTTCTTGACAACTCTTTCACGATACAGCCGTAATCTGCTCTGTGTTGCAAGCGAGTTCAGCAAAAGTCATTATCATTAGTTTTGTCATAGTGTTCATCGCCATCATATTTCCTCTGTTCCAGGTTTAGTTCACGCAAACGCTACAAATGTACCGAGCTGTAATCTGGGTCCTTATGGCTGTTGCCATGACAATGTGACTTTCGCTAAAGGCCCGGATATGGAAGGCTGTCCACCACAGAAGTACCAGCACGCACTACCTGTAGCTTCCGCAGTAAAGCCACAGGAGCTTTCTCAATGCCAAAAGGATAAGGAGAAAGCAAAAAGTTCCGGCGCGGCTGATATATTTGTACCCGAGTGCGAAAAATCTGGGCTCTATAAAGAGGTTCAGTGCTACAGTTACCCAGCCAGTGGAAAAACGGACTGCTGGTGTGTGAATCAAACCAACGGCAGCGAGGTACCTGGGACGAGGGTCAATAGACTGACGCCAATTTGCAGAGGTATAGATGTGTATTTTTGTTTATTTATTTGTTTATTTATTATTTTTGTTTGCAGTCAACAAATTTATGCCTTTGGTCTCGACTGCAGTGCAACCCAATCAGCGCATTTCATCACATGTATTTCACTGCTTATGATTCAATTGCTTTTTAAATGGTGCACATATACATTGTATGCTATGGAATAGTAGCGAATGTACACAGACTCTAAGTTCTTTGATTTTCTGTTAATTCAACAGCAAATGCCACAAGCGCGCCACCTCAAACCACTCCAACCTCTCCCTCGTCATCATCGACACCTGCAGCTACCACGCAACCTACCCCACCCACCCCACCAAACTGTCAAGTTACCTTGTATGGGTGTTGCCCTGACAACCAAACAGCAGCGACGGGAGCAAACCAACAAGGATGTTCACAACAACAGCAACTGCAACCCCAACCTAAGCCGCAGCCGCAACCGAAGCCGAAACCTCAGCCGCAGCCGCAACCTCCATCTCAACCTCAACCTCAACCTCAACCTCATCCTAAACCTCAGCCGCAGCCGCAAGCGCAGCCGCAACCGCAACCGCAACCGCAACCACAGCCGCA